CAAGTTTCCTGATTGCAGCTCTATCAGTATCCCAGCCAAATAGTTGGTCACATTCCTAACCCTTATTTTATAGTACACTAGCTTGGGGACCCGACGCTGCCCGGGTTATTAGAGAAAGTGGGTAATGGCGGTTCTGTATGCCAAGTTTGGTCTTTATTGGTCATTGGATGACAGTTACATTGTTTTCAGGGAGTGAAGGTACTTGAAGTCCCATCATCCATGTTTCATCCTCCTCCAAACTGCAGCAGGATGTAGAGTGGGTCATGGGGGCTCTGCTTGCCAAGTTTGGTCTTGATCAGTCATTGGATGAGGGTCGCAGTGGTTTCAGTTAGTGAGTGAAGTACTGCAAGTCCCATCATCCATGGTCCATTCCCCTTAGAACTGCATCAGGATGTAGAGTGGGCCATGAGTACTCTGTGTGCCAAGTTTGGGCCTGGTCTGTGATTTGTAGGGGCTACAATGTTCTGTAAAGTAAATCGGGTGAAGGTACTGCAAATCCCATCATTCATGGCCCATGAATAGGACCATGAATAATAGTACAGGGTGAATGGCCCAAAGTAATCCCAATATTTGTTTGTTTGGTTGCATACTGCCAGTTGCTTCTGGTCTGAGAGAATCTGTAGTCTACAAAGACATTGCCCAGGGGATGCCCAGATGTGCTACGATCCTGCAGGGAAGCTTCTCTCATGTCCCCCATGCTAAAATAGTGGATGTGGCTCTTAACAAGACATGACACATTATCACAGGATATCTACATCCTACACCACTGGAGAAAGATTAGCTGGTATTGTTTAGCTGGTACTGCACCACCTGACATCCACTGGGAAGTAGCAGCCAATAATGGAAGAACCAAGGCAGTAACATCTCTGGCTCATCCTCTGTTTGGATATCAGCCAGCATGCCAACGCCTTAAATCAAGAAACAGCTTCCTAAGACCTACAGAGATAATTACAGGTACACCTCAGCAAGCGAGAGTCCAAAACTGGCAATTAAAAACCCAGAACCTCAATCCATGGATTATACCAGATGAGAAACTCCCCCTTGGGCACACAGAAGACTGGGCAACTTGAGAGGTGCTGAACAGACTGCGCTCTGGCACCATGAAATGCAGAGCTAACCTTAAGAAATGGGGCTACAAAGTGGAGTCCATGACATGCGAGTGTGGAGAAGAGCAAAACATAGACGACTTACTACAATGCGGTCTGAACCTTGCTACATGCACAATGGAGGACCTTCTTATTGCAACACCAGAGGCACTCCAAGTGGCCAGCTTCTGGTCAAAGGACATTTAGTATAATGCCAAGTTTTTTAATTTTGTGTTTTTGGGTTTTTTTTAACTTTATAATTGTACCCTCAATTTGTTTCTGACACGGTAATTTTTTTTAAAAAATCCCAATATTTGCCTTAGAACTTCTTGAAATCGCAATATTTGTCACTCCTGGATCACCAGTTCAGTGTGTGTGTGTCTCTGGCACTTTCAAATTATTTTCAAAAGTTATTTCATAGAATCACAGAGTTGGAAGAGACCTCATGGGCCATCTAGTCCAACATCCTGCCAAGAAGCAGGAAAATTGCATTCAAAGCACCCTCAACAGATGGCCATTCAGCTTCTGTTTAAAAGCCTCCAAAGAAGGTGCCTCCATTTCTGAAAGATATCATCATATTCATTTCTTACCTGCCTCTCCTTATAGCTCAAGGCAGAGTTCAACACAGTCAAAACATATATTAAATACATAGGATAAAGATCAAAGCACTAGTACTAATAAAGTGTAAAATTAAAATTCATTGTTTAATATTGACTGGGTAAGCCTGTCTGCTGGACAACATGCAGATTTTTTTCAGCAGAAGTTGTCCTTCGCATTTAACTCTTTCAGCTTATACACTTCATCAGTATATTTGGAACTATAAAGTGTGTTTCCTTGGATGTTCCTATGAGGAAGAGAGATATATAAATCAACTAAATGGTGTTTACCTGAGACTTTCCAGTCCTTGGAAATGCAACTTAGAACTATGATTAAAAATATTATACATTCTGGTGGTGCTGTGGGTTTAACCGCTGATCTGCTGAACTTGCCGAACAAAAGGTTGGCGGTTTGAATCTGGGGAGCAGGGTAAGCTCCTGCTGTTAGCCCCAGCTTCTGCCAACCTAGCAGTTCAAAACATACAAATGTGAGTAGATCAATAGGTATCGCTCCAGTGAGAAGGTAATGGTGCTCCATGCAGTCATGCTGGCCACATGACCTTGGAGGTGTCTATGGACGCCGCCGGCTCTTCGGCTTAGAAATGGGGATGATCACCACCCCCCAGAGTTGGACACGACTGGACTTAATGTCAGATGAAAACCTTTACCTTTTTACTACATGATCAGTAAAAATTTCATCTGATCTCCTTCAAGGCCTTTAATTGAATGGTATCCTACCTCAGATCTAAGCTCTTGATTAGATCATGCATAGGCTGATTGAATTAAATCCTTGAGTCTCATACCAACTTGATTGGTCTACTGGCACAAAAATGCTCAGAATAAAGGCTGGCGCATTCAGTTGCACCTACCTTGTCTAAGAATAGCAGCCTGATTCAGTCTTCAGGAAAAAAATCCATTGATTTCAGTAATTAAATATTAATATATTGGTCCTGAGACAAGATCATATTAGTTCCCTCTGAAGTATGGTGAGTAAATTCATAGAATGTCTCTATGAGAGAGGGATGCTGGAGGCAATTGCTTTCTTTTCAGGAGGGTGCATGAACAGTTGTGACACTTTTTTTTTATCAAATCCAAAAGTAATTTTTAGCGTACAACACAGTGTTGCCCCATTTCCTATACTTAGCAAGCTGTCTTCATGACATCTCACTCACTGCCATGAGGTGCTGAATCTCCTGCCAGAATTTTGATGCAATGCAAAATTGAGAATATATATCAGGTTGACTTAGTATAGGCTTTCACACCTTCCATGTTTCATACCGAAATCTAGATATGAAAATAAAAGTTTTCAAAAAGGCCTTCTATATACTTTGTGGTTTCACACTTTAAGAAAGCAATGGTTATCCTCGCTAAAGGTGGCCAATTGCAGACAAGAGTTCTTTCTCTGGGTTGTATGGCTTTGTTTCCTGGGTTGCATGGCTATGTTCCAGAAGCATTTTCTCCTGACATTTCGCCCACATCTATGGCAGGCATCTTCAGAGGTTGTGAAGTCTGTTGGGAACTACCTAGACAAGTGAGGTTTATAGATGTGGGTGAAACGTCAGGAGAAAATGCTTCTGGAACATACAGCCATGAAAGCCTTCGACAACACATTGTGAGGGAGACGTAGTTTTAAACAGAATTTTCATAGATGTTTCCAGTGACTCTGAAGTCCCATGTGTCCTGATTTATAGACACCTTTGTTTGCAAAAATGAAAGAGTTGTCTCAAGGATGCATTCACCGGAGTAGTGCTTGTGCTACCTAACGCTCCCTAATTTCTCTCAGCCACATGAAGTCTGTGTTTGAAACAGGGGAATAGATAGGACAATCAGGGTCAGAGGCGTGAAAGCATAATTGCGCTATTGTCCTGCTTGTTAGATCCAATGAAAATGTGTATTAGCCAGCTAAGACCAATGGAATAATTGATCTTTGAACACCAATGAGAATGTGTTTTTAATTTTCTGTGAAAGCAATAAAAGCCTTCTAACCCCGTTGCAGGGTGCAACAGACCATTTGTGCAGTGGGCACCCTGCTCTCGCCTTACTACTTGGCCTGCAATAAAAGCCTTTGTTGTCAGAATCCAGCTTGTGGCATCTTCCTTGCACAGCTGTCCAAGACCTTTAGGGGACTCCTGAGCTCGTGCAGAGTTCATGTGGAGTGCTGGTGAGCCAGAGCCCCTAAAACTGAACTCGTCTGCTTGAGGCAAATGTGAATGTTGCAATTGGCCAGCTTGATTAACATTGAATGGCCTTGCAGGGGGAATCCTTTGTTGGGTGGTGTTAGTTGGCCCTAATTGTTTCCTGTGTGGAATTCCTTGTTTTGATTAGTATTGAATGGCCTTGCAGCTTCAAAGCCTTGCTGCTTCCTTCCTGGAGGAATTCTTTGTTGGGTGGTGATAGCTGCCCCTGATTGTTTCCTGTCTGGAATTCCTTGTGTTTATTAGTATTGAATGGCCTTGCAGCTTCAAAGCCTGGCTGCTTCCTGCCTGGGGGAATCCTTTGTTGGATGGTGATACCTGCCCCTGATTGTTTCCTGTCTGGAATTGCTTATTTTGATTAGTATTGAATAGCCTTGCAGCTTCAAAGTCTGCCTTCTTTCTGCCTGGGGTACTCCTTTGTTGGATGGTGTTATCTGGTCCTGATTGTTTCCTGTCTGGAATTCCGTTTTGATTAGCACTGAATAGCCTTGCAGCTTGAAAGCTTCCCTGATTCCTGCCTGGGGGAATCCTTTGTTGGGTGGTGATAGCTGCCCCTGTTTGTTTCCTGACTGGAATTCCCTATTTTGATTAGCACTGAATAGCCTTGCAGCTTCAGAGCTTGCCTGCTTCCTCCCTGGGGAATCCTTTGTTGGGTCGTGTTAGCTGGCCCTGATTGTTTCCTGTCTGGAAATCCGTTTTAATTAGCATTCAATGGCCTTGCAGCTTCAAAGCTTGCCTGGCTGCTTCCTGCCTGGGGAATCCTTTGTTGGGTGGTGTTAGCTGGCCCCGATTGTTTCCTGCCTGGAATTTCCCAAGGGAGCCTATGGTTTGCTTGGTGCAGCGACTGTGATGAATGGTGGCGACACGGAGGGAGGGCGCAGAGCCCACACAAACAACACGCGCGCGCTCCCTCCCTCCTTCCCTGCTTCCCTCCCAAGAGGCGCCTCCGCCTCGCGCCCCGCCCTGGCGCTTCCAGCCCGGAGGGAAGGCTCCCCGTCACGTGCCCGGGAAAAAAGGAGGCGGGGCGTCCCACTCCTTCGCCAATGGCCCATCCCGGGTGAATGACCGGCGCCTCTCCCAATCGCTCTCCCCTCGGAGAAGCCGGGGGCGGGACCCTTGGAAAAGGAAACGCCGGGATTCAGGAGGTGTGCGTGATCGACAGCTCCCGGGCCCAATCCCCGCGCGGAGGTTCCCGTCCCTTTGGCTTTCTCCAGCCATGGGCGGGGAAGGAACAATGGGAGGAAAAGGAGGTGGAAGCGGGAGGAAAATGGCAGCGGGAGCGACGGCCGCGGGGAGGAGAGGAGCCTGCTTCCCGGCGCTCTTGGTGGCAGCCGCCTCGGTGGTGTGCCTGGGTGAGTGGACGAGGGAGAAGGAAGGAAGGGAGGAAGGAAGGCGGGAGGGAGGGAAGAAGGAAGGGAGGAAGGGGGCCGCCCTTGGGGTCTTCCTCTTTTTTTCCTCGGTGAGGGGTTTCGGAAGGCATTTGGGGGCGCCAGGGCCCTGCAGGTAGGCCTCAGTGCTCCCCTGTGCAGGCGGAGAGCGAGGGGTGTGGGTTCAGCGTACGTGTCATGATGGTGGCTGTGCCGTACGTGTGAATCGCGTTACAAAACCGTCCCTGAAGGAGGTGATTTCCCTCCTCCTCCTCCACCACCACCTCCTTCCCTCCCTCCTCCTTTCCCTTCCTTCCCCTCTCAGAGACCAAAGATAACGGGGATGATAAGCGCTGACCCAGGAGACACACACACACACACACACACACACACAGATGTAGATAAGCTGCAGGGACCTGGAATGCTAATAGTAGTGGACAGTTGCTGCTATCTATCTGTCTATCTTTCTATCTATCTATATAGCAGCAAGTGTGTGTGTGTATTTCTGACTGTGAGAGCCGTTCAGCAGTGGAACTCTCTGCCTCAGAGTGTGGTGGAGGCTTCTTCTTTGGAGGCCTTTAAACAGAGGTTGGATGGCCATCTGTCAGGGGTGCTTTGAATGTAATTTTCCTGCTTCTTGGCAGGGAGTTGGATTGGTTGGCCCATGAGGTCTCTTCCAACTCTATGATTCAATGATTACACACACACACACACACATACATCCATGCCCAACGACTTTGCATTTGTGGCACAGGGGAAATAGAAGACCTAACACACTATTTGCTACGTTGCCCCTTGTACAATGACCCTAGGAAAAACTTCCTAGGATCACTCTTGGAAGAAAGGGCATCATGGCAACAATCTGGGGTGATCTGCGACTTGCTAGCAGATCATTCTAAAAATATAACACTAAAGGTTGCCACATTCGCAATCGCAGCCCAAAAGATCAGAGCCAAAGTAGCAAAATCCATACTGGGGGTCAGAAATGGAAACGGTTTGGAATGACACAAAGCAGACACTGTTATTGTCATGTTTCTGCTTTCATGATTTTAAAGAACTTGTTTTAGTTTTAATTCTTGTTACATTTTAAGGTTTATATTGGAAAGTGTTTATAAAGTTAGCGTATTACTGATGTCATGGCCTATGGCTAGTACAATAAACAATTCATTCATTCACACACATACATACACACACATACACACTAGCTGTCCCCTGCCAGGCGTTGCTGTGGCCCAATCTGGTGATCTGGAAAATAAAGTAATGAGAAATTGTTGGTTTCTAATATATGTAATTTCTTTTATGCTTGTGGATAAACAGTATTTCTTATTGTTTCTTTGTCGGTGTTAATGTAATTGCCTCGTCTGCCTACTCTGGAACTTGCAACATATAATTGTCCTTCTTTAGGGGTCCCTTTCAGATCTATGATACTGCATCTGTCATAATACATATATGTGTGTGTGTGAATCATGATATCTATCTATCTATATCTATGGGTGGATGGCTCTTTGTCAGGAGGGCTTTGATTATGTTTTCTTGTCCTGGTGAAGGAGGTTGGACTAGATGGCCTTAAGGCAGCATTTCTCAATCTGGGGGTTGGAATCCCTGGGGTGTTGTGAGGGGGTGTCAAAAGGGTCACCAAAGACCACACAGTATTACTGTTAAATGGCAATTCTTTTTCTTATGAAGAAGAGGTTGTACACACATTTGTTCTACAACAGTGCTTCTCAACCTGGGGGCTGGGACCCTGGGGGGGAGGTCAAGTGGGAAATACCACCAGGAAACATAGTATTTTCTGTTGGTCATGTGGGTTCTGTGTGGGAAGTTTGGCCCAATTCTATCGTTGGTGGGAATCAGAATGCTCTTTGATTGTAGGTGAACTATAAATCCCAGTAACTACAACTCCCAAATGTCAAGGTCTATTTCCCCCAAACTCCATCTGTGTTCATATTTGGGAATATGGAGTATTCGTGCCAAGTTTGGACTAGATCAGTGGTTCTCAACCTGTGGGTCCCCAGGTGTTTTGGCCTACGATTCCCAGAAATCCCAGCCTGTTTACCAGCTGTTAGGATTTCTGGGCATTGAAGGCCAAAACATCAGGGGACCCACAGGTTGAGAACCACCGGTCTAGATCCATCATTGTTTGAGTCCACAGTGCTCTCTGGATGTAGGTGAACTACAACTCCCAAACTCAAAGTCAATGCCCACCAAGCCCCTCCAGTGTTTTCTGTTAGTCATGGGAGTCCCGTGTGCCAAGTTTGGTTCAATTGCATCGTTGGTGGAGTTCAGAACGCTCTTTGATTGTAGGTTAACTATAAATCCCAGCAACTACAACTCCCAAAGGACAAAATAATTTTTTGAGTGATGGCCACTCCTTGGGTTAGAAGGTGTCTTGTGGCCAAATTTGGCGGCAATTTGTCCAGCGGATTTTGAGTTATGTTGTCACTCAAAATGAACAGAGCTTTTTTATATAGAGAGATATATATTCTGTATCATAGAGCTGGTTAAGAACACAGTCCACTCAGCCCAGCTCCCTGCCATGCAGGAAAACACAGCCAAAGCACTCTGGACAGATCAGATCTGGCCAAACTTGGGCCCTCCAGGTGTTTTGGACTTCAGCTCCCACCATTCCTAGCAGCCTCAGGCCACTTCCTTAAGCAGCTGAGGGGGAAAAGGAAGGGGCCAGAGGCTGTTAGGAATGCTGGGAGTTGAAGTCCAAAACACCTGGAGGGAGGGTCCAAGTGGGCCCATGCCTGCACCAGATGGTGATCCAGCCTCAGCTTGAAACTCTCTGTTCCAGGAAGTTCTTCCAAATGTCCAAGTGGAATCTCCTTTCCTGCCCTTTGAAGCCATTGCTCCCTGCCTTCGTCTCCAGAGCAGCAGAAAACAAGCCTCCCCCGCTCCTCAGTGCGACAGCCTTTTAAATATTGATATCATGTACACTTCTCAGGCTTCTTTTCTCCAAGCTCCCTCAGCTGCTTCTCATAGGGATTGGTTTCCAAACCTTTTCCCTTCTCTGTGGAGCTCTCTGCCCGGGAGTGTGGTGGAGGCTCCTTCTTGTGTCCTGTTCTGGGCACCATATATTCACGGAGGATACTGACAAGCTGAAACGTAGAATCATAGAGTTGGAAGAGACTTTGTGGGCCATCCAGTCCAAATCCTGGGCAAGAAGCAGGGAAATCACATCCAAAGTACCCCCAACAGATGGCCGCCTCTGTTTAAAAGCCTCCAAAGAAGGAGCCTCCATCACACTCCGGGGCAGAGAGTTCCACTGCTGAACAGCTCTCACAGTCAGGATGATGAATCCAACATGTGTATTATTGACCAATACAATTGTACTGTTTGCCATGCCAAGTCCAAATTGTACATCTTATACCGGTCTGTGTTATAAAATATGAACATGAAAGGAGTTGGTATGTGCAAATTCACAGCTGTTTTTCTAATGCAGTGGGCGGGGGTTTGGTTCCAGCCCTCCCCCCCTCCAATTCCAGGTCTTGTGGATACTCAAATCCCCTTATATATGGTGACATAGTAAAATTGTGTCCCTTATAGAAAATAGCAAATACCAAGGTTTGCTTTTTTGGATTTTTAAAAAATATTTTCAAGGCATAAGATTTTGGTCTAGTTGGTTAATCTGAGAATGATGGTGAAAAGTAATGTCATTTTTTTGTTGACCTCTTCATAATTCCATTTTTCCATGTTTAAAATCTAAATCTAGCTGTTAGTCCCAACTAAATTCATTGTATCATGTGGCAACTTAGCAAGTTACTGTTGATTCAGTAGTTACTGTTGATTCAATGAATCTGTTCTATTTGACATTAACAATAGGGTGTAGACTTTTTATTTCCTTGTCTGGATGAATTGTTTCTTCAACTCTTATAGATCCTGCCTTCACCATGTCTTTCTTGTATGGAGTAAATGATGTGTATAAAATTTACTGATGGTAAAATGACTAGGCTCATCATATTAAGTGCTATTATTTTAAAGCACTGTTGATACAAGATTAGTCTTTTCTTTAGCTAGGTAGGAGAATTCTTTATGAAGTATATAAGTGTTGTTCCTATAAATAACTATGCTATTGGCTTGTACACATTCTGGCCTTCACTAACGTTGTTAGCTTGAAGCTTTTTGTTGTTTCTTATTGTTACAGCAAAAGCAACAGTTATAACATGTGCTATGGCATTGCACCTTGGTGGCACAGTGGGTTAGACCTCTGAGCTGCTGAACTTGCTGACGGAAAGCTTCTGCCAACATAGCAGTTTGAAAATATGCAAATGTGAGTAGATCAATAGGTACTGCTTCTGCAGGAAGGTAACGGCATTCCATGCAGTCATGCTGGGCCGCGTCACCTTGGAGGTGTCTATGGACAATGCCGGCTCTTCAGCTTAGAAATAGAGATGAGCACCCCCCCCCCCCAGTTGGACACGACTAGACTGAATGTCAGGGGAAACCTTTACCTTTTATGGCACCTTAAGGCCTACTTTTGTTGTAAGTGTAGCACGTAGCTTTAAGACATGTACTGTTAAATTAGTACCCTGCTTTCCCTCCCAAGACTGGGACATGAAGTATCTCAGTCTTGAACTATTTCTGTTTCTTAGCTTTTGTGAAATGACTTAAATGAGCCCTTGATATCCACTGGGATTTGGTTCTAGGACCTCCGTGGATACCAAATTCCATGGATGTTCAAGTCCCATTATATACAACAGTGTTGCAAAATAGTGTCCTTCATAGAAAATGGCAAAATCAAGGTTTGCTTTTTGAATTCTTTGAAGATGAGGGGGATATTTTCAAGCTCTAGATGACTGAATCAATGGATGCAAAAATAGTTGATATGGATGGCTGACTATATAGGAACATCATATCTCTACTTTTATCATTATTGAGCCAACTAAATACAAAGATACTACACTCTTCTCTCATTAAACTGAGCATCTCTAAAATATAACAGAATAAAGATAAGAAGACTGTCAGCCTGTTAGGGTGTAGTT